CAAACAAACACTTTACACCTATACCCACACTTTACATCAATTTCCTACATTTTACATGTATATCCAACACTTTCCATTTGTATCCGATACTTTACACCTGTACCCCACACTTTACATCAATTTCCTACACTTGACACTTATATCCAACACTTTCCACTTTCATCCAACACTTTCCATTTATATCCGATACTTTCCACCAATACCCCACACTTTACATCAATTACCTACACTTTCCCCTTGTATCCAACACTTTCCATTTATATCCGATACTTTACAGCTAAACCCCACAATTTACATCAATTTCCTACACTTTACACTTATATCCAATACTTTTCACTTATATCCAACACTTTCCATTTGTATCCGATACTTTACATCAATACCCCACACTTTACATCAATTACCTACACTTTCCCCTTATATCCAACACTTTCCATTTATATCCGATACTTTACAGCTATACCACACACTTTAAATCAATTTCCTACACTTTACACTTATATCCAATACTTTCCACTTTCATCCAACACTTTCCATTTATATCCGATACTTTACACCAATACCCCACACTTTACATACATGCACACACACAAATATATATATATATATATATATATATATATATATATATATATATATATATATATATATATATATATATATATATATATATATATATATATCCCACACACTTTACGCTGATATTCAACACTTTACACTTATTAGCATAATTTACATCTATATCCAACACTTGACACCCGTACACTTACATCCAACAATATACAGTTATATCCCACACTACAGTTCGAATCAAGGCATTTGAAGAAAGCATGGGAAAATCTCTTCATGTAAAGAAGCAACTACTTCGTTAAACTGCTAAAGATTAATTTAAAACCGAACCTTCCGAAATCAAGATATAGCATGTTCTCTAGGAAAATGTCGCTGCAATCGGTATGAAGATGTCTCCTACCTCCTCTCCGACAGACCATTATGTAAATTTGATTGTAGACTCTTAGCCACTGTGTTCTTTTAAGCTGCCCTAATGCCCGCCCGCCCAACCTAACATCGATTCTAAGCTACTCTAATGCTTCCTCCTCGTACATCAACTCTAAGCTATTTTAAGGTCTCCCGGACATTGATTCTAAGCCACTCTAATATCCCCAGTACATAGATTCCGTCAAGATGAAGTGGAATCATTGAGAAGAAAGGTTAGGCAATCCTATTAAACAAGACAATGGATACTATCGCTATATTAAATTCTCACCAAAAATGCCTAATTATATATTGTTATGGGCTTAACTTTGCCGCTGAGTGTGGAATTTGTAAACAACATATTTACATTGCTAACTTTTATTCATGATTTTAAGTTATAAATGACATTTTGAAAATCATTTTTGAGTTTATACTATTTTGTATACAGACTTGTTTGCAATCTGATTGGAATTTTTAACTGGAATGACTCACAATTAAGATTAGGTGAAAAGTGTACAAATAGGTACCTGAGAAACAAATAATTCATTGCTATCTTGAAACAGTTTCTGGAATCAATTTGTTATCAGAGTTAATAATTGTGATGTAATTCCTATATGAAGAGGATTTTGTACTCAACTTATTCGTAGGAATAACTAAGTACTCGCTGACTTAGGATTAAAACATTATTATGGAATTACTGTGAACGGATTCAAAGACATTCAAGCATCATTGTAGTACATCAAAACATCCAAGACCATGGGAGTTTATTCGGAACATTGTAATGTTTGGATTTGTGATTAGATATTTAGGATTGTTTTGGATTTTATTCATATTATTGAAAGTGTCTTTAAAGTTTCACTTTGAATGGTACAAATAAATGGTTTGTTTGTTTTTTTAAACTTCTTGGTTTCGCTTCTAAGTGTTAGATAGGTATATTGTCGTAATACTGTCTTCAGATCATCAAGAGATTTGCAACGAGCGACTTGAGGGTACAATTACAAATAATAATGAGATGCCATTATGGTCTCTTTGAACTTACCTGATCACTGCAAATAAACTTCTCTCCGTTGTTGAGCCTCTCAAACTCTCAAATCGTGTGGGTTTTTTGATCATTTTCAGACTGATTTGTTATTTTTCCGGCACAAGTTCAGCTAAACGATGGGGCGAGCTAATCACATCTGATCTAGACAGTTGTAAATCTAAACGATACTATGTTTATTACTGCAAAGTTGATCCGCCAGCTTTGGTTCATTCTCTATCTTTCGGAGGTAAAACGCGTGTCACGTGAATAATCTTTCCCCTAGGTGATGTCAACTCATGATTGGATTGTTGATAGTGTTGAATTTGGAGAAATTAATTATTGCAGGTAAATAAAATTTGATTCACACAGGACACTTGAAATGGTTGTGCGAGATAAACAGTCTAAGCAAATCTTCATCTTTAGCTATATATTGTCCTTTAAAATCTTCTAGGTACGACTCCAACAGGTGAAAATTATTTTTCTTTTTCGTGGACTTTGTGGTTCCTATGGCAGTTGATGGTATCAGGTATGTTACGATCATGACTTCGTGAAAATCGCTAAAGTGAACCCTTGCCAACATTTAGGCCAGTTATCGTCGGAGTAGACACGAAGAGTTGTTGTCGTTTAACTAGTGGACTTTCCTTGGTGGCTGATCTTGACTTTTGGTCTCGTGGAGGTAGAGGTAGATGGTAACGGATACGGGTTGATGTCTTTTCATAGTATAAGGATGCACCGAAGTCATTGTTGCTTAGTTCATATTTCTCATCGAAATAGTTGGAGCCTTTCATGATAATTGTTGACTCAAGTCCGAACTGACAGATATATCTATCTATCTATCTATCTATCTATCTATCTATCTATCTATCTATCTATCTATCTATCTATCTATCTATCTATCTATCTATCTCCTTCTCTCTCATTATATATATATATATATATATATATATATATATATATATATATATATATATATATATATATATATATATATATATATATATATATATATATATATATATATATAAGCCCTCTCCTTACCTATGTTTCTTTAAGTCATAATGACTCATTGTACCTACATTTTGCCGTAATCTAAAATGATTACGTAAGGCTATTCTAGATTTGTTTTGCTAATTCAAATTTTAACCAAACATATTGCAAACTTACAACAGTTTTTTAACTGGAGCAGAAAATGTTACATTGAATCTAATGTTTAACATAAAATTCCATCTAAAGTGTCAGGAAATAAATGAGTTGACATTTTCTCTTCAGAATAAAAACTACCACAGAAAAATAACTTTGCAGGAAATCTTAAGTGCATGTAGGTTCTATTCGTTACTTTGACCAATGTAGCAAAATACTGTCTTTATCAAAAATACTTATTAGCTTCAATCCTGACCAGTACACTACTTTGCGGTGTGGGTGTGGGGGAGGACACTGGGGTAAACTTAGCGTATGCCAGAAGGATGGTTAAAAATTTGTAAGAAGCACTTAACAAAAATGGTTCTAATACCTTTTATGCATTTTCACTCATGATACTGTGGAAATACGTGGACGAAAATCACGCACATACAAATATGCATTGACTGTCGTTGACGTTGCAAGTAGATATAAAGAAGCAGAACCACTGTCAACAAAAACATCAGCATCAAATGAATAAATAAATTGTGTAAATAAGTAAATTGTGGTGATTCACCATCAATATAACTCACAATTATACCGAGTTTGGTTCCCTCCGACAAATAAGCACTATTTCTACTTATAAACGTTCCTTTGTTCGTTTTATCAGTAATTATAAAATCCAGCTCAGCATCATCTTGTACAATGTCGTTTATGATCATACGAACCACATTGAGTAAATTTACCAATTATTTTTCTACCGAAATCTTTTGCAACTTTATTTTCATAATAAATTATATGATATAATAGCTCCACTTATACTCATCGACGTTAAGATTTCAGCATCAATCATGTATCGTAATAGCAATATTGGAACCCAATATATTTTTTAGAAATGTCTATAAAACCAAAGCGTAAACGATCGGATAAAGATTGTTGCAAAACTTGAATGGTTTGCAGTGGTACATTTATCGCAATTGTTGCCATCTCGTGTGTGGGACTTTCTTAAAGGAACGTGGCTACTGCATAAGAGAGAGAGACAGAGAGAGAGAGAGAGAGAGAGAGAGAGAGAGAGAGAGAGAGAGAGAGAGAGAGAGAGAGAGAGAGAGAGAGAGAGAGAGAGAGAGAGAGAGAGAGAGAGAGAGAGAGAGAGAGAGAGAGAGAGAGAAAGAGAGAGAGAGAGAGAGAGAGAGAGAGAGAGAGAGAGAGAGAGAGAGAGAGAGAGAGAGAGAGAGAGAGAGAGAGAGAGAGAGAGAGAGAGAGAGAGAGAGAGAGAGAGAGAGAGAGAGAGAGAGAGAGAGAGAGAGAGAGAGAGAGAGAGAGAGAGAGAGAGAGAGAGAGAGAGAGAGAGAGAGAGAGAGAGAGAGAGAGAGAGAGAGAGAGAGAGAGAGAGAGAGAGAGAGAGAGAGAGAGAGAGACTAGTATTGTAAATCTTGGAGTGATGCGAATAAATAGTTATAACGTGGAGTGAACTCTACCCTTGCACCCTTGCACGATTGCTGGAACAACTGCTTTTTCTGGAACAAGATCTCTCCCTTCAATCACCGAATGATAACAAGAAAATAGAGGTAAGGTGGAAACATTAAAAATGAATGACAGGGAGACTAGATAGGTTATAAACAATAAGGATTAACTCTTATCTGACTTTGTTTTCTTGCAACTCTCCCTTTTGTTCAATTTGTATCTATCGAAAATGAGACGTTAGAAAGGTTGATTGAGTGTGTGTGTGTGTGTGTGTGTGTGTGTGTGTGTGTGTGTGTATGTGTGTGATTTGGATTTTAACGATGTCTTTAGTATGGCAGTTTATTGGGATGTCAGTACTGGGGCATCATGCTGCAGACGTGTAGCTGGCCAGTATTAGTAGTATTTTTTTTAAAAAAAGTTTAAGCTAAGACACGGCCGGGGTTCAAACCCGTTACTTCCAGCAACCAAAGCTGACACTTTAACCACTAGGCCACATGCGCCGTCAAAAATAGAAAGAGAAGGAATAGAGAAATACCATAAAGAAACGAAAGAATAAACAGAAGGAATAATTAGGTCACTGATTCCATTTACATCATGGTGACAATGGCCTGTCAATTGACTGGACTTTCTTATTATGAATGGTTCTTAAATAACACACATACAAAGATAAGACTGCTAGAATGTGTATTGAGAGCTACAACATCCGATAATGAACAGGAACAATATGATAATAAATTCAAATCATTTTTTAAATGGATTGTTACTTTATATTAAATTAGGGAAACTTATCTATGCCGCTTAATGTCGTATATTACTTTGAATAATCCACTAAATGAATTGTCAATCCAAAAATATTTCACCCTTTACTGCAATACCATTAACAGGAAAAGAACAGTGATTTTACACGGTCAATGAAATAGTTCTTTGAAAATTGTTGATAAAATATATTAACTGGATATTTATATGTATACAAGAATTTATGTTTCAATTCTGGATGAGAAATATTATCAGAATTCACTAAAACTTTTCGATTTTACTTACACCTTAACTATGAATTATCTTAAAGTTAAAGAAAACGGGAGCATGGAAGGAGGTGTCATGACGTCTGCTCAAAACAAGAAAAAACTATTAAAAATGCAAGAGCTTGGAAAAAATTTTAAATGAACTTTTTATAAAGCTTAATTTTTAGCAGAAAAAAATTACATGGTTTATTTATATTTTGGACGGAAAGAGTGTGTATAGAGGTTTACGGCACTGTTACCACCTTTAGTCTGCTAGTTCTGGACCACTGACGTTTCCATTTGTGTAAAATTGTCTAAGTGTGAAGAGAAATGTGCATCAAAATTGTCTAGATGTGCATAATAGCCGTGCCAAATATTGTATGATTTCAAAACAATTATTGATCTTGCAAATCTTTTGTGTTATTACACTCTCTAAATTTATCCGACCATACGTTACAGATTGTTACGTATCACTAATAAAGACTGACTGTAAGGATGCCACTCAAACAATATCCATCGGTCGAGAATTTATGTTGTCCCCAATCCTTAACACCTATGACGCCTGACGTTACGGTTCTGAAACAGACTCCGGGAACAGAAATATATTATGGGATACGCTAAGCTGATAATGACAGATGTGACGTATCGTGATTGTGCTCCTATGAAAATTGAACTTTTATCGAGAATTGTTAAGGTAATACGTGGTAACTTCAAACCATTTTAACCAGTTACCCGGCAAGACGAAAAGTATCAACATTTATTACATATTCGCTACGAATTTGAGCCTGCGCTTGTTACAATCGACGAGCATACATTTTGAGTAGATTGTACATGGTAAGGTTCCGCAAGAAAAGTGAACAAAAATAAAGTTGTGCAAGTCCACAATTAAGTGCAGTTACAATATGTTACAAAATACATTTGTTTGCACTTATGACTTAGTAAATTATTGTGTTATCACGGATTGTGTTGTATAACTGACATGTATAATTTCATATTCTTCTGTTTCTGGGTCAACTAGCTAGGTCTAGTTGATTGGTAGGATGAGTTTATTGATGACGCTATGAGTAGAGAAATGTAACTAGATCATACAGCGTTTATTTGCTTTACATGATTAGAGGATCCAATTATGCATTGCTCATTCTTTTTATTGTTGACCACATTCAAAAGCTGTACTTTCATTTCCGTGATTTTCATGCTGATGATGAGCAAGATGCGTTTCATGTTGGCAGCAAGTGACGCTGTCACATCTATTACCATATCCAAATATTTAGATTTATCAGCAGCATTTTTTCTAAATAAAATTGTCAAAGAATAAACTAAAGATATTATGAGTACTAAAAGTATTCCAAAGATCTACTGAGGATGAATAATAGAGGCGGTGCTTGGAATTGGAAGTTTAACAGTAAAATTTGACTGCATTTTAATATTATTTATATGAAGCCAATATACAATATATTGATATGAGAGCATCGAGATTATCTTAAATAGGATAAGACCGGATTATGGGGGTGGATTAGTGGTACATGCCTCTATCCCCCTACTGAATGGGGTAGACTTCTTCTTGCCGTGGTTTTAATTAGGTGTGTTTAAATAAACCATATATAGATCTAAGTCGCCTACCTATTTAAAATATGGCTATACTGATTTTACACATATCAATAGTTTAAGAAGTACTTTGAGGGTGTATTGGTAGATCTATAAGCCCCTCCACATCGTAAGTGCTTCAATGCCTCAATCCTAGGACCAATGCCTTAATTAAGACCAGTTTGCCGTGAATTTAGCCAGCAAATGATAATTTTCAGTCATGTTCATTCTGAGGAACTGGGTATGATGAGTATCATTTATATGCACTGTGATTGTTGAGGCTGCAGCAGGCTGTATACGGGCATTTGGAATAAGATTAATGCATATCAGTTTAATGTAACTATCAGCACGGATAACACCAGTTCACGATTACCTGACTGATTAAAATTTTTCTTGCAGATACATTGAGCGTACACACACACACACACACACACACACACACACACACACACACACACACACACACACACACACACACACACACATACATACATACATACATACATACATACATACATACATATATATATATATATATATATATATATATATATATATATATATATATATATATATATATATATATATATATATATTAAACTGACGACAAACAGTGCACAACTATTATCTAACTAGCCTGAGTGTTTTGGAGTCTTTTTCAAAGGCATGCACAAGACATAGACAAAACAAACAAATTAAACAAAAAAGTTGTGTTTGCAAATTCCTCATGGCTGTTTCTACATGAATTAAACCTTTAGATGTATCATGTCTCAACCAGCCTATATTGACTTGTTGATATTTGCATTCACCTAGAAATCTATGAGCCATAGCGACATCTATTATTTTGTGTATATTTATGTAACGCAAATTATATCTCGGATATTTTAGTCTATTCCTGATATTGCATTCTTATATTAGTAAATAAAGAGTACTAAGAAGATTTAGAAAAATTTTGAGAAGAAAATGTATCAGCTGCAAAGGCTAATTCTACTAGTGCATAGCTTTCTTTTTCTAGTCTTCTTGGTTTGTACCGCTAGGTTTAATGGCGGTGACCTCTGGTAAGTATCTTTCAGTAAGAAAGATCACCCAACATTTAGGCATGTGCAGTGAGTTGGAAGGTTGACCATTGTAAATTTGACCCATGGGAATCCTTCGGACAAATTCCAAACTAGAACTGCTGTTGAAGTAAACTGCTGAAAGCATTGCCCGGAACAACCAGTCTTCCTAAAGACGAATGAATACAAATTGCATTAAATAGAGTCAAACACTTCAGAAGCATATCGAATACTTGAACAAAATAGCAATTTCACAGCTGAATATTCATTCTGGGCTTCCAAAGGTAAACTATGGCGATGAAATACTTAAATCCTACACTATTTTTAGCGTATAAAATATCATTGCTACATAAAAAAAAACTTTAAGGTCATGGAAATATACATTTTGGATCAGCAAATCCAGAGATTAATTTACTGTATTTTTGTTATCAATAATAATATTATATAAGTAGGTGCATTAATTATATATGTATATCTACTGAAGCATAAATTATATATGTATATTTACTGAATCATAAATTATATATGTATATCTACTGAAGCATAAATGATATATGTATATCTACTGAAGCATAAATTATATATGTATCTCTACTGAAGCATAAATTATATATGTATATCTACTGAAGCATAAATTATATATGTATATCTACTGAAGCATAAATTATATATGTATATCTATTGAAGCATAAATTATATATGTATATATATATATATATATATATATATATATATATATATATATATATATATATATATATATATATATATATATATATATATACTGAAGCATACATTATATATGTGCATCTACTGAATCCATCTGAAAACAGGGAGAGGTGGTATATTGACATGTCTTCTTTGTCCAAAAATGGGATCACAAGTGGCCATAAGTTGGCTGATTAACTGAGTCAATATTTCGTTATAAGTATGATAATGTTAACTATAATTGTTTTATTGGTATGGTCCTTCTCATATTTGTCAGCATAGAGGAGACCCCCTAGTTCCAAAAGTTAATGGGTTTTTATGTGATGTTGTATCTCTATGGTGCACATGTTCTCTATCTTACGTTTTTATTTACTTTCGATTTTATTAATTTTGAATTAGACTTTCCTTCACCATCCTAATTTATTATAATCGAGTTATTATTTGGTTTCAAGGTTATTTTAATAATGAAGTATTTAATAAAGAGTGAATAATTTAGCATGTATAGTCAAAATCTAATTCTATGAAGTTATTTATTTAAACTAAATAAAATCTTAGCATGAGTTCAAATCAAGTCAGTTCATGAAGCACGAGCAAAACCTGTGCACCCAAGCTAGTGAGTTTTTTTGCCGTGCTGCGATTTTTCAGTATATAAATGCATAATGATTTTAAAGCTGTTATTTAGTCATATGGTTACAAATCGATGTAATTAATTTATAATATTTCTTTAAAAGCTGTAAATGATATAGTGAAAGCAATGTACGCAGTCCGGAAAGTAGAAAACAACCCGTTAGTCCGTATTGTAAATTTTTAATTATCATGTTCTGTATCACAATTTCTCAGTTCTTTTCCATTGTTAATTGTAGTATGAATCAAAAGTTCAAGAAATATTGTTAAGTTTGTACGATTTCCTTGCGAGTTCTTGAACTTTCCTTGTATTCATTTCTATCAATTCTCGTTTAAGGGGCCATCCATAAATACCGTCACGCGATTTTGGCCGATTGTTTTAAACCACCCCTCTTTACACGTCGTCACAAAAAGTCAGACCTCCCTAAAATTTGATGTCACAAAGCTCAGTCTCTCCCCCCCCCCGCGCACAATTTTTTTAACCTCGCTTTGGTGGCGCTCTACAGTTTCGTATTTAGCATAGGGTTAG